AATTATTATAAAAAAATTTATCAAATATTTGAAAATAATTGAATTTTTTCGAAGAATTTTCATAAAATTTTCAAGAATAATTGCATTTTTCGAAAAATCCACTTAAAATTATATTAAAAATAATTGAAATTCTGCGATGAGTTTTATTATTTATAAAAATAATTGATTTCCTGAGAAGAATTTTGTTACTTATGACAAAAATTGAATTCTTATACGAGGAATTTTTTAAAATTTTAGGAAATAGTTTATCTTTTTCGACAAATTTTACTATTTATCAAGATAATTGAATTTTTGAGAAGAATTTTATTGAAAGTTTAAAAAAAACAAAAATTTAATTTTATTAAAATAGTAAATATTGAAAATAATATAATATCAAAAAATTTTTGAAAATAATTTTTCATCGCAAAAATTCAATTATTTTAATAAATAGTTTTTTTGAACAATTTTTATTAAAATAGTAAATATTGAAAATCATTGAATTTCAAAAAACTTTTTAAAATAATTGAATTTGTTTAAAGTATTCCAGTTGTAAAAATTGTAACTGTAAAAATTTGAAATTCCAGATGTAAAAATTCTTTAAAAAAAAATAATACAAAAATTTGCAGTTTGTTTAAAAATTGAAACAGAAAAATGTTAATAATACATAGAATTTTTATTTATTTACACGTAATATGCTTTATGTTAATGTAAATTATTCAATAACGTCCCGAACATACAAAAATTATCTCTGCTAATAATATACCTACATTTATACAATCTCATTAAAATACGTTATGTTAAATGTTTCATTTCTTTAAAAGAAAAAAAAATTCAGTATGATACAAAATTTTTCGTTTACATAGCATGGAAATATTATTTTTAACTGTTCAATATCTGGATAAAAATTTACATTCAGCATATATAGTGGAACATTTCATTGATTATTAACAGCCGAACTATATATAAGTATATATAACTGCATACATACATGTATAAGAACATCATTGAATATTTAATATGACACATAGAGGCAGGAAGTACCAAGTAAAACTAGGCAACTTTTAATAAATAATTAAAACCTTTTTCCTATAATATTCCATAGAAAATGGAATAAGCCGTACAATTATAGAATTGTTAATAATATTTATTAATCAATATAATTCTATGTCTGTCGAGACATAAAAAAAGACTTCCGAGAAATTTTCCATTAAAATACAATTCGATGTTAATACAATTCAATAATTAAATATATTATGGCGAAGAATAATAAATTATTATTATTCTCTCTGAATTTTAATTATTAAAATTGTTTACTAATTTAAATTAGTGACTGATGGCTTTTGCTTTTAAATTAGTAGATTTTACTAATAAATAGTCATTTCTACTAATTTATTAGTAAAAAATTTACTAACTCAAAAGCAAAAAGTCAAAAGTCACTAATTAAAATTAAAAAACATTTTTATTAATTCAAAATTTAGAGAGATTGAATAAAATTAAACAATAAAATAAAAAAAATAGAGAAAACAAAAGTACAGTGCTGAAAAGGAAGTAATACAAGAATGATTTACAAGGGTTGGACTGTGTGTACCATGAAGAAATAAAAAATACCATTATATATAAAATTAATCAACGGATTGTGTACCGTAAATATCTCGCGCAGTAGAAGGTAATTAATGGTCTGACCACATCTGAACTTTACTACTTAATGTATGTTGTATCCATAAAAATACCCAGTACAAAAAAAAAATGCAAAAAAAAAAAATTCCAGCGTAAAGTTAATTTACAAAAAAAGAATATAATTTTCACTATGGTATATTTCTTGGAATATTTTATGAAGAATAAAACAAAAAAAGTGCTTGAAATGTGTGTTTAATTAAGTGGAAGGCAATTGCGTTTCCGTTGTAATATTATTATAATACTATTGCAATTATATTTTTATATTTTTTAATATTTTAATATTTAATCATTATAATTGTAAAAAAATTATAATAATAATTTTTATTGTAATTATTACAATTGTAAAAATAATTATTAGTACTATTAATCTATATTAATAATTGTTGTATTTCGGTAATCAGTTCGCAGTTTAAAGTTGTTATTTCCTTTTTTGTTTCCTAAGTTTTTTAATAATTACTTCCTCATAGAGGAAGTATTTTTCTTTTTAAATATTTTCAATTTTAAAATTAATGTATTGAAAATCATTCAATTTTTGCAAAGAATTTTATCAAAAAATTTGATAATAATAGAATTTCTTCGAAGAATATTATTTTTTAGGAAAATAATTAAATTCTCGCGAAGAATTTTGTTAAAATTTTTGAAAATTCTAATTAAATTGAACTCTTTTGAAAAATTTTATACCGAATTAAGAACAAAATGAATTTTTTTGTCAAATTTTTTTTTGAAAATAATTGAATTTTTGCAATGAATTTTACTATTTATAAATATAACTGAGTTGTTTCAAAGCATTTATTAAATTTTTTTTTAATTTCGAATCTCTTCGAAATATATTATTAAAAATTAAAGAAAAAAAGGAATTCTTTCATGAAATTTTATTAAAATTCTATTAAAAATAATTGAATTTTTGCAATGAATTTTACTACTTATAAATATAATTGAATTTTCTTAAAGAATTTAATAAAGTTTTAGAAAATAATTGATTTCGTTCGTAAAATTTTTTTGAATATAATTCAATTTTTGCAATGAATTATACTATTTATAAATATAATTGATTTTTTGCAAAGAATTTTACTATTTAAAAACATAATTGAATTTTTCCAATGAATTTATTAAAATTTTAGAAAATAATTGAATTCTTTCGTGAAATTTGTTTTTAATATAATTCAATTTTTGCAATGAATAAAAATTCACAATTAATATTACTAAAAAAAACTTCATTATTTAAAAAAAAAAAATTCAAAGAAATTCTTCAAAAGCAAATTTAATTATTTTAAAATCCTAATTTAAAAAAATTTTAATAAAATTCTTTGCAAAAATTCAATTATTTTCATAAATAATAAAATTTTCCCAAATAGTTTAATTATTTTTATTTGATAAAAATCTTTGCTTCAAACTGCGTAGAGATTATTTTAGTTATTTACTTTCGAAATATTTCCAAATTCCGGAATATTGAAACTTTCCTATCCGCACAATATTCAAAGACATTTTTTGCATTTACTTTTGTTGATTTATAAAATTATGTTTCTAAAAAGGTTTTTCTGAAAAAAGAATTCGTCTCACAAACCAGTAGTGCGAGAAGTGGTAGAAGAAAGGAAAAAAAAATTAGTAAAAAAAAAAATTGCACATCGCTGACAGATCCGGGTGCCGTGAATTATGCACTTCGTTGTGAAAACACGAGGGGGCGAGAATGAAACTGATTCCAGATGGTGAAGAGTATTTTTTCTTCTTTTCCTCTTTCTCTCTCTCTCTCTCTCTTTCCCTTCTTCTTCAAAAACGTAATGTAACCCTTGGGACAAAATGATGGTGGGTCGGTGGTTGGGTGAAAAAAAAGTGGATGGGGAGAGAGGGGGGAGGGAAAGAGGAAGAGAGAGAAGAAAAGGAGAACGAAATGGAAGCATCGCTCTCTCATTCCTCTCGTTGGTGCAAATTAAAGGGGCGCGCGTGCAAGCGAAAGCTTGACACCGGGATGAGAATAAAAGCGGCTCACCCGGAACCGAAGGTGGAATGGGGATAAAAAGGAGATTATGAGCGCTTGTCGGGTCAGATGAGAAAGTTGAGTTCTCCGTGGTAAAACACCTATAAAGGCTACCATTGAGGCGTAACATCCGGTTGCGAGGTGGAAATTTGATGGTTACCGGGAAAACTCTACTACAGACATTTACCGCAGTTGCATTCAAGAGCCTCTTTCGTTTTCGCTATAACCCACTTTTTTTTCCTTCTAAGTTTTAAAGTAGCGCTTTTCCTCGAATATTGCCCTGGAAAAAGGAAAAGAAATGAAAAGAAAAAAAAAGAATTCTGAGAATAATTGTGTCACAATATATTTATTTTCATTTACTCTCGCACAATCAGGGAAAAATTTCTTTGAAAACAAATAAATCTTTTGTCGAGTCAACCAAACAATCGAAAAAATACAGTTAACCATCACAATTTTTCTGAGGATATCAAATTGAGACAAAAAAGTATCAAAAGTTTGCTTCGCAACAGCGAAGCAAAGTTTTAATACTTTTTTTGTCTCAATTTAATATCCTCTGAAAAACGCTGCTTCGCAAAAAAATTAGACAGAAATAAATAATTTCTAAAGAAGTTCTTATTTATGAAAAAATTTGAATTCTTGCGAAAAATTATATTAAAATATTTGTAGATTTCGAATATATTTTTCCAATACAATTCTAAAGATATTTAAGTATATCGTAACTGTGTTTTTGCACAAAATATTTTTACCATAATTTGTATTCTACAAATTGTTCCATATTATTAATGCTAATTGATAGAAGAATTATTAACTGAATCGTTATATTGCGATAATTATATATGCACTAATTATACCGTAATTGCTTTCAACAATATTGAGGCTAATGATTTCGTAATGAGCAGTAAATTATCATTTACAAAGAATAGGAAACAATTATATAATTACTCCTATCAATATTTTAGCATATCAAGACAAAAATATTTGACTATTTTCTCTTATTGGAAAATATTTTACAAATTACGTCCGTTATGATATTTCCTTCAAAATTAAACTAAAGTAATATTCATTTTGTATTTTTTTATAATTTTATATAATAAAGTTACTCATTTAAAAAAAAAATATTTAAACGTTTTGTAAATGTTAGCATATGTTTGCTAATTGTCTAATTAATTGTTTAACATCATAATGTTGATATTAATTTTAGTAATTAATATTATTAAAATTTAACAATATTTTGGAAATGTAAAAAGTAATTGCCAAATATTTTGAAAATATAAAAAAGAGTAATTGCAACATTTTAGAAATAAAAAAAATCGAAATCATTCGTAACAGAAAATATTAAAGAAAATATCTTTCCTTTTTCTTGTTGCAGTGCGGAAATTCGGGTGACATTTCTGAACGAGTAGCAGCTTTAATGCATCCATCCTCAACGCAGGACGAATGCTAGTCTTTAGACAAGATCCTTAGAGATCTACGCGCCTTCCATGAAGATCTAAAGACCGATAGAGAACGAGAGAGTGACATCAAATGGAACGAGAGAATTCAAAGAAATTTTGAGCTCGATGCATTTTTAGATTACAACTATTTCATAAGTAATCTTTTTCGTAAGCTTAAATTAAGAGTAACACTTAAACTTGATCCAATGATAAATCTTTCTTACTCGCAATAAATAATTTTTAGTGAGTTATAAATAAATAAATATATGTGACAAAAAAATGAGCGATGAGATTATTTGTGAAATGGAATTTTTGTATAAATTACTTTTTAAAACAAAATAATATGTGAAATAAATGATGCGTGTGTTTTTCGCGTTAAATAAAAGCATAATAAATAAATATACAAAAAAATTGACGTTTCCAAAATATTTTGTATCTAAAAAAAATGTGTGAAAATCACAATCTATCTAAAAGTATTCATTAATTTAGCGAAATATTCCTAGAATTTCGTATTAGAGAATAATAGAAAACACTTTTTTTTGCAAGAAATGTATCAAAATATTCCAAAATATCTTGACTCCCAAAATTTTCATTTGGGAATATTTGCGAATATCCTGAAATACATTGGACGAATAGGAAATATTCCAGATATTCCAAATTATCCCAAAATATTTAAATATATCTAGAATTATTTCAGAATCTAAATTTTCCAAAATATTTTGAAATATTTCAAGATATTCCTGAATATCTGTTAATAGAAAAAAATTCCCCAGATTTAATAGGAATTGAGAAGAGAAAATATTCAAAAATATCTATGTACCAGAATATTTCAGAACATAAAGGAAAGAATATGAAATGTTTTTGTAACATTTCAAAAAAAAAAAAAAATATTTAAGAATATAACAGGGTATAATATACAAAAGCATACCAAGATATTCTTACAAAGATACTGAAATATTACAAAGGAATATTTTGGTATATGACCAAACGTAGCAGAAAATATTGCTAAAATACTTATACCATTAAAATAATTCCAATAACAATAGTTAATATTGTAGGAATCTAGAATACAAAGAAAAAATTTTTTTCCAATTCTCTAAACTTAAACAAATGATTCTAAATTATTTTAGAACAAAAGAATAATTATTTTAGAAAATATTCTAGATTCATTTGCTAAAAAGAAAATTTTCCAAAAATATTCCAAGGAAATATTTCTTGAATATTTCTACAAAAATTTATTATTTAAGTGGAATATTCTTAAATTGTTTCATTGGAATATTCTAGAGTTATAATATCTTGAAATATTACAGTGGAATATTATAGGAATATTCCTTATTAAATATTAATATTCTTCATTAAAATATTTCTTATTGTTGAAATAAAAATAGTAAACAATAAAAAATCTCGCAAAGAAAGATTTTCCTGGTACAGCTAAAGCCAAGTGTCTGGCTTTTTATTAAATATTTCTCTAAAGCAAATAAAGTTTATCACTATTTTAGCTGTTCCAAGGAAGCTCTTTTTTTCTTTTCTTGTAATAAAAATGTAAATATTCCCCCTGTCTCCCAAATATTATTAATTTTCTCAATTTCAATTCTTTCACTAAACTAAAAAATAAAATTTAGGATTTGATTCCAATAAACGATTATTACTTGTTGTGAAATAAATATTTGTTTTCGTCAAATAATTTTTTTTTGAATCAAGTAAACTACTTGAATATTAAAAAGCATTTGAAGAATTTAAAGAAAAATTTGAAAATTGAAGCAAATTTTATTTGACTTAAATTAAAATTATTTAATGCAAATAAATATTTGATAACAGACAAGTAATCGATTTTATTTGTATCAAAAAAATTTTTTTCCAGTGTAAAATTAAAATTTCTTCTCAAATAGAAACAAATTTTCTTACAAGGAATTAATAGAAAAAAAAATAGAAACAAAAAAAAAAGCTACAAGTTCCGATTACACAATTGATATAAAAGGAGTTTACTGTCGCGTGACACAAGAACATTAAACCAATAATCGGCATCCCGTCCAAAAATATTGTCATGTCGTGTATCAATTTGCGAACAGAACTCACTTTTAAAAAAAAGAGAAAAAAAATGGACAAAAGTTTAATACAAGAAAAAAAATAATAAATAATTCGTTTACTACTGAAATGGAATTGGACAGATAGAAAACTGTGCCATCACAAGAGAATTGGTGTGGGAAGAAAAAGAATAAGATATAAAAGGAATAAAGAAAGAAGGGACAACTCCCCCTCCTTTCACAATATAGTAACCATCGAAGCGAGAAACTTGGAGATAGAGAAGCCATTTGGTGAGTAAAGAAATGCGTATAGAAAGAATAAAACATTTTCAAGAGAGATAATTTTGTACCATTGCTCAAATGAGGGTTGGGCTCAATGATGGGCGATCTACGTCCATAAGAATAGCGTAAAATTTCAAGATAGGCCGCGCGCAAATAAGTATCTTTAAGATAAACCCCGACCATTGCTATATACACTTTTCTCGAAAGAGGCAAAGAGGAAAGAGAGAGAGAGAGAGAGAGAGAAAAAAAGTTAAAGCGAAACGAGGAATTCAGAATCTCCTTTTAAAAGATATGGGAAGACCATTTTCCTCCAGAATTTACGATTCATTCTGATTTGTCCATTTTACTGCTTTCGATTAAAAAAAAAGAGGAAAAAGATTCTATAAAAAGTTTTCAATTTTTTTTTTCATTCTCTAAATATTTATAATCAATGGATTTCTTAACCAAATATTTCCAAAGTACGACAATTTTTAATTTTTTGGAATATTTCATTAAAGAACAAATATTCCAACAATATCGTAAAATATTCCGTGGAATATTCCAATTTTCCAGGCACTGAAAATTAAAATTGTATTCTTAGCAAATATTCCAGCAATATGGATCAGAAATCCAAAAGAATATTACACTTTATTTGATGAACATTAGAATTATATTGTCGTAAAATATTCCAGCAATATAGAAAAATATTCCATGGAATATTTTAATTTTCCAACTATTAACTATAAAAATATTATCAAGAAATATTTTAGCAGTATCACAAATTATTTCATAATGTAATTTAATTTTTCATTTGCTGAATATTTAAATTATATTCTCAAAAAATATTCGAGCAATATCGAAAAATATTCCATAGAATATTTCAGTTTTCCAGCCGCTAATTGTTAAAAAAATATCCTTATAAAATATTTCATGGAATATTCTAATTTTTCAAGTGCCGAATATTAGAACTATATTCCTGGCAAATACTCCAGCAATATTGGAAAATATTTCGTGGAATATTTTAATTTTCCAGGCGTGAAATATTAAAATTGTATTCTTAAAAAATATTCCAGCAATTTTAGGAAATACTCCGCAGAATATATTTTAATTTTCCAGCTGCTGAATAATAAAATTGTAGCCTCGACAAATATTCCACAAATATCAGGAAATATTCCAAGAAGTTTTTGGATTTTTCAACTACTGAATAAAAAAATTAAAAAGTAAAGAATATTTTATCAATGTCAGAAAATATTCCACGGAGTATTTTAATTTCTCAAGTGTTGAATACTAGAAGTAAAACATTGAAAAATATTCCAGCAGTATTGCAAATATTCCAAGAAGTTTTTGGATTTTTCAACTACTGAATAATAAAATTAAATAATAAAGATTACTCCAGCAATGTCAGAAAATATTCTATGGAATATTTTAATTTCCCAAGTATCAGCACATTGGAATTACAAATTCAAGAAATATTCCAGCAATATCCGAAAATATTTTTCTCTAACATCTAGAAATATTTTATTTTTTTGTCATTTTAAGATTAAACTAAGAATAAAAATTTCACTTATTCCTCTAAAGAATTTATTCTTTAGAGGAATAAGGAAAATTTTCATTTCACCTTTTTTCCTCAAAAAAAAGGAGAAAAAAAATTGAAGAATAAGAAGAAAAATTCGTAAGTGTTGTACAAAGAATCTTGCCATTTTCAAGAGGTCGTTTTCCAGTACCTTATTACTGGCGACTAATTCCAAGTCGCCTTTTTGACACAGATGAGAAAAAGGCAACATCAATTAGGCTCTGTTTTCCTATTCATATTCAAGATTGCTAAGAGTCTTGAAAAATAAAGACCCTTTGAGATGCTTTCTCCTTTCTTGTAAAATGTGGCTGCGCTTTCAAACGTTTCCCTCGTTTCCTTATTCAAAACCAAAAAAAAAAAAAGAAAAGAAAAAATGAAACTTTTGCAGCTTTCTCTCGTGGTATACTTTTCGCTAAATTACATTTCAGTCATTAATCGCTTGAACCGGAAGCCAATAAAAAAGAATGTAAGAAAAGTATGTATAAAAAAAAATGTCTTTAATGGTGAGAAAGAAAAGATCAAGTCGCGATAAATGAAAATAGGCAACTTTATTTGTCAAATTCTTCATTTTAGAAAAATTCTCTTGTGACAATGGGAATTTTCGATACTTTTCGAATTCAGAAAATTTTCCTCCGTTATTTAAATATTTCAAAAATAATCAAATTTTCCCTTTAGAAGGAAAAAGGAATTTTCTTTTGTTTCAATCGAATATTTTTGTAATAAACTGCAAAGACATTTCGAAAATATTTTTTATTTCTCAAGGAGTGCTTTTTTTTTTCTTGGCAAGAATTTTATTGAAATTTTTTGAAAATAATTGAAATATAAATTTATAAATTACAAATTACTTATTAATTAAAAACTTATTAATAAATAATTATAAACATTAATTCAAAAAAATTTCAGAATATAAAAATTGCTTTTTAATTGGAATGAACAAATGAAAGAAAATTTTTTTTTTTTTTGCAGTCTCATTTTTTCATTGTTTTAATCATTATTATTTTGGATAATTAGAAATTTCCAAGTCTTGAAAAAAAAGAAAGATGAATAATTTCTGCCTTTAAACGGAGGGAAATTTTTGCTATGTGCTTTTTCATACAATGGATGAATCTTAATGAGGCTCTCTTCGCTCAAGAAATGCTTTCACTCTCTGTTTAACATTTCGAATAGTTGGGAAAAAAAAAATTTTTTTTTCTTGTCAATCAGCTACTCAAGGACTTTTGCTAGATATTTGCTCGACTAAAGAGTCCCTTGTCTGTACAAAGTATCCTCTTGTCTTATTCAAGGATGCTCCGTCAGATTGTAGGGAAAAGGAGTACTTTCTCTCTCTCTCTGTATTATTACATAAATGGTGTCCCGAATTTTTTAATTTTCATATGGAAAATTTATTGTCAAGCTGAAATTTACTTTCTACTCCTTTATTTTTCATCGAAAAGAAAATTTAATAAAATTTTATTGTCAAAATTTGTCATTTAAATTGTAAACAAATTTTTTAATTTTAATATTTTATCTACTTTTTCAAATTAAATTTTTTAAATTTTATTTTAATTAGTGATTTTTTTAGTGATCTTTCGAATTAATTTTGTCAATTTTATTTTGAATTTTCTGATTTAATTTTCAAATTAATTTGAATTTAATTAAAAGCTATCAAAAAAAGGAGAAAACGTTTTCAACAATATTTTGAAATTCTATAGAAATTAATTTTAAGTTTGTTGAGAGATGGATAAGGAAAACTTGATAAAAAAGGAAAAAAAAATTCTTCTCTGTTCACTTTACCATGAAATTACTCTTGTAAGAAAAGAGAGCAAAATGAAAAATTAAAATAAAATTGCCGTAAAAACATTTTTTAGCATTTTTCAAATACACTTTTGTCCACTTGAAAAATGTATATACCTATATATATATTGTTAGAAAATGAATTTTCCTTTATGGTTTCTCGTGTGGAAAATTTCGTTACTATGTGACAATGATTTACGAAATTATTGACAAACTAACGAGAGGAGAAGAGAAGGTGCTTCAGTGTAAAATTGTGAGAAATACGAGGCACAAAAGAGTGTCCCTTGTCCGTTATAAGTACACCCTGTGTATAGGAAGTGAGTAAAAGAGAGAGCGAGAGAGAAAGGAGACAAAAGATGGATGAGAAAAAAAAACTTGAATTCACTCTTTTCAGGATCACCCATTGTCTTCTCAAGAGGAAGCATAGTTGAGCTTTCACACTGGCCTTGC